CATTCCTTCCACCTTTCCTAACTTTCTATATCAGATGGCGGGCGACCTGAATTTAACAGATGTTCTAGTGCTTTAATTTGAACATTTGAAGTTCACCAGGCATTAAAATGCGATTTTGAATATACAGCATGTTTCAGTCTCGAATCATAACAAAGGTTAGCATACCTGTTCTTTATCATAATCATGCATACCAATTAATGATAAGAGATAATATTACAGTACCTATCAACTAACGGTATGTATGAAACGGACGCAAACCGAAGAGAAGAAAAATCAACATAAAAGTTCTTCGTTCTCTATAAACGGCGTTGGCATTCGACGCCACAGAACACATACAAGCGAGGAACGGAATCGCAGGGTTTTGTATAAGTATTTTTATCTCTCGGTTACTGCATTCACAGATACAAACAGAAAAGGACTTTTGATGGTTCAATATCTTAAAACGCAACGGTTGAAAAAGTGCCACAGTGAATGTGGTTTGAGTAAACAGAAAAAAAAGGATGAACAAGAGAAAGAAGCGCAGTATTCTGAAACTACACGGTAAGTGTAGAGAGAGAAAGCATTACGGAACCACGGTAAGGCTAAACTGAAGCATAACTTGTTGATCTGGTGTTACAGCCTTACAGGTGTGGCAAGCACGAAAAATGTTATGAATATTATTCAAAATAACGGTATGAGGTGAAGTCTGGTCATCTACTGACATCGCTACTAGAACTAAGTGGCATCACTTAAGAAAAACGCAGAATTCGTAAATGTTTTTACGTCTACCTTCCTGTCTTACACTTCCACGAACATCGTTGATGGCATACTGCTTCCTTTACGAAGTTTATGATAACGCATCAATCTCCAACCTCCGTCTTCATAATAATCAAGAAAACGTTGTTGCATTCAAAAGCCATATCCACAGTTAAGTGGTCAGAACTGAAGCGTATATACTCATATTTCCATTCTCTAAGAGTCAAATTCGCTTATCCATCTTGAATCACGAGTTTCGAATACACGACCTCAAGAATGTGAGTAAAACATTAAACCGAACGTGTCAACGAGCGATGCCGGTGACCCAGCGATAGCTCGGCATGGAACTTTCTGCCGCTTTCACGGTACCCAAAGGTGAAATTGGTAAACTGATGTCAATTTTACTTCAATTTCAACCGACGTCATCTGAAGTGCAATATAAATAGTCGAGTACCTGTTCAACTTCAAGAAGATCTCGGGATCAAGCGTGAGATCGATCAGCGAACGAGGACTAAAGCTGCCAGAGTTGGCGCGTTCGCGGAAGAAGCCATTGGGCAACAAGGCCACTCGGCCCATGGCCGTCATGTTAAGCTCCTGGTCCTGGCCGCGTTCGCTTTCAAACACCTTTGTCGCCTTGCGCTGCAGGTTTTCGGCGATTACCTTCAGCGAGTCGACGAAGAAGTCAAAATTGTTCAACAGTAGCAGTTTGTCCATGGTGACGATGATCAGCGAGTAGAGGTGCTGAAAGCCGCGGGCCCGGAAGTTTTTCAACGTGAACGTGTAGCACAAGCAGTAGCCGTACTGAAGATCGCCAAAGAAGATCGGTCCCTCACGACTCGGGCACACTTCGCAACTGAGGCTTCGCAGGCACGCCTGTCTGAAAGCATTGTGGGTGATTACGATCGTCATAACAACACAACATAAACAAAAACCAAAAACAAACTAAATGATCACTCTCCATAACCAGCACCGTCCGTATAACCAAGCGCATACGCTTACTTCGACTGATGACTGTTCAAATGGGTGCAATGAAAGTTCAAGTTTTACAATGAAATAATCAACCGAACAACTTTCGAGGTAAATTATATTTGAGTGATGCACGTGTAGTTGATGTTGACGCAAACTGTCATCGTCATCAAAGGTTAGCTGCGCTCAAACAGGCTAGTATGAACCAGATTTACAACGAGCGATCACCAAATATGCATTTAGACAATTAGCATCGCGTTTTGCCTAAAACATTAAATTTGCCGATTGTGAAGAAATCGCCATCGACTAAATAGCGCCAAAGCTGAAAGTAAAATACATTCGAATATCTAAGCGACGCTTACCTGACGATATCAAGAACCTCGGCCTGGTAAGGGTACTGGCTACCGACGAAGCTGATGCGGTTTTGGTGGTCGTTGACCAGAAAGCCGGGCTTCGTCGATGGCATCGACTGACAAGCTTTACATGTCCCCTGGTGCTGGTGGCTAAGCTTTTCGGCGGCGCTGCTGGTCATCGACGACGTCTGCTGCTTGTCGTCGTTGGTCGACGAAGCGATCGGCGTACCAGTGGCTTTCGAGTCCACCACATTCACGCCGGCCATGGTTCGCAAGCATTCGAGGTTGCCGTAGAACGGCTGTTCGTCGCGTGACTCGCAGCACTCGGGCGGCGTCTCGTCGCGGTACGGTTGACAGCAGAATAACACTCTCGGGCCATGCATCTCGCAGAAATGACACACTCCGACAACTGCATCCATGTTACCGGATCATCGGCAGGCCTGACGACTGACTGTTACATAAACGACGACGGATGAGGGTGACCAAGACGACGACGTCGACGGCAATGGCGGCGATCGACCGCTATTCTTCGTACGAACATTCGACGATACACGGCGGGCGGCGACGTGCTCACTGAAAGTACGGATTAGTCCGATCCGATTCGGTTAATCAGTCGAACAGATTACACGTCCAGTGTTAACACGCGACACACGAAACGACACAGTCGAAAGCGCGTGGTTTACAGTTACGTCATTCATAGGGAACGGTCTGTCAAAGCAGCTGACCAGAAGTTAATCACCATGTAGCAT